ACATGTATAACTCGTCCACAAATGGACTTAAGTACATGATATTTTACATGTCTACATTACCAAGTAGATAACGGACACGTTGAGCGCGATGGTGACGACGTTGCACCGTCCCGACGTCGGGTCTCCTGGCTCTCAGTCCAGTCTCTCTCAACCTGTTCCGTACAGTTTGACCGGATATCCTCCGAAGTCCAGGGCACCCTGGCTGCTGTGCTCTCACCCGTGGCAGTACGATCACGCAAATGTAATACCCGGATGTACCGATCTTGGGCTGCAGTGGTGACTCGAGGTCTGCCTGTACGGGGACAATCATTTGTTATACCTCTTTTGTTGTAACGAGCTGCAAGCCGTGATTTCGTGCTCAGACTAACATTCAGACGCCTGGCAACAAAAGATTGGTAATCTCCAGCGTGCATTCTTTCAATGGCGATGTTCCGTGTCGCAGCGTCAAGACGTGGCGTAGTGATTTGACATTGAAACTCCTTCAAAACGAATGCCGATTTCCGAAAGTAATCTGGAGTTTTATAGCTAGACAGTGCATGCTCTTTGCTGCACAATTTCAACTGGAAGGTGATTTCTGTTGCGTTGTGACGATGCCTTTTTAATCCTTGTAAGAAATCTGATCAAAATCAACGTTTTCATGTAAAGTCGATTTTTACTTGCAAATTAAATCATGTCATCAACACTTTTGTTACATATTTTGACGATTGTACGAACACAATAGGTAATTGATATATTTGTAAAAATACAAAACGCCTATGCGTTTCTTTTTGTGGATAGTATAGTTGTTGATGACTCAGCAACAGTAAAATATATAATGAAATAGAAAGAAAAATGATGATTAAGTCCCCTAGCCAGTTGTTACGTCCTTAAGGTCAGACAGATGGGCATTCCAACCATGCCCTCACACTCTCATTCCCCAAGTGATGGGACTCAGCCACCGAGGCTTCCACCATTCATTTCCCTGATCCGGAGGGTTCGAATCCCGATTGGACTCATCCTAACAAAAGTACTAGAATCTGTACTTTATTGAGGAAATGTAAGCCTAAATATAACGGATGTAACGAGAGTAGGCGTGGTAAAATACTGAACAAAACGATAAGGATAATAACTTAGCTTAGTTATATGTTGAGCATAATATCTTTACACACTGTAGAATATTTTATCGCTTTTTGGAAGGAGTTCATCGAAGTCACTCTAACCATACAGTGACATTCTCGTTCCCTAAGTGATGGGAACTGTCTATGTATTACTACAGATTCGACTGATGCGGCTAACGGGAACAGGTGGACGGGCTCGCACAATGTCATGTCGCCGTGTCCCAGTTGACAGATTGATGCTTACAGCTGTTTCGGATTTCAGCACGGCTCACTGGATCGTATTCACTGAGTCAACAGTTTACATACCACCGTCATATCAAACTATGAATCCAGAACAAAACACTGAAACCCCTTCAGGTATCATATATTTATAGAGTATTCATACTATATGTATTCATATATTCTAGCGTGCAAAGCAAAAGGGGTGAAAATTGTGAATGTGAAACTGTGAATTGCGGGGCATTGGCTTCGTGAGTGAGTGAGTATGGTTTTACTCTGCTTTTAGCAATATCCCAGCAATATCATGGCGGGGGACACCAGAAATGGGCTTCACACATTGTACCCAATGCTTTAACCATAAGGATTCTCCACCGCCACGCGTTGGCTTAGCCTAGCGGCTAAGGCGTTCGATACTCCACATGGGTAAAATGCGTTAGCCCATTTGTTGGTGTCCCCCTAGCTGTGATTTTGCAAGAATATTGCTAGAGGCGGCGTAAAATCATACTCACTCATCCTCGGTTAATCTATATAAGCATATCTGTTAGAAGTTGACGTTTGCAGGCTATTGAAATAAAGGAAACTGAGTATTTAAGTTAGAAGGTTTGACTCTTATGATCCGTTTGACAAACCCTCAGTCTTGGATCATTATACCTACACGTGTATCACGATCTGACGAATATAAAGTAGCCCCGTTGTGATATAGAGAGTGAGTGAGTGAGTTTATTCCTTCTGGGGACAACAGAAACTGGCTTCACAGATTGTAGCCACGTTGGGAATCGAATCCGGGTCTTTGGTGTGACGAGCAAACGCTGTAACCACTAGGCTAAACCCTACCGCCCCGCTGTGATATAAACCGACATAATGTTAAAGTCAAACTCACTCACTCTAAGCATGCACAAGCGAAGGTCAAATTTTGGCAAACAGTTAAGATCTCAAGAACTAGTACAGAAGCACAGTTACTGGACTGTACTATACTAATACATATGGACGATCATCGACATCCCAAATCATTTTATGAAATGTTAAAGCTGCAAGATGATAGTGGCAGCTGTAACTGGGTCACGCATGTGCGTCTACTTCTATTCCGAACTGGCTTTACTTATGTTTGGATTACACAGGAAGATGGGAATATTGAAATGTTTGTAAGTGTTTTCAAACAAAGATGTCAAAATATTGAAATTCAAAATTGGCATTCTAGGATAATATCATCAGATTTTCTAAAAGATTATTGAACAATCAAGTCCGCCCTGGAAACTGAAAAAGACATATTGGAACTCTGTCATAAGATAGTCCTTTTACATATTATATCCAAATTTCGCTGTTTCAGCCGTAAGCTGAAAGTTCAACAACCTTGTTATAATGATAATATTCATGTGTGACAAATGTGATTTTAATGTTACACAAGATGAATAAATTTCATTTTTTACTTGTGTGTCCATTCTATTCTGTACATAGAAAAATGTATATACCTCGTTATTACCATACGTTTCCATCAAGATTAAAATGCAAACTTTGTAACAACAACAACAACAACAACTGTACATCTATTGAAATCTATTGCAGTATTTCTAAAGCGTAACTTGCCTGTATAAAAATGTTCTAATTTTATTGTTTTATCTGTCCATCTGCAAAATGTTGTTTTGAATGTTTGTACTCTTGGCCATGTGGCCTCAAATACTGAAAAATACTTCTTTCAGAGTCACAGTGCCGTTACGGGTTGATAACGTAACTGTTACTTTTCAATGAGAGACAACACACGCTTGGCCCAGATGAGTTGATAAAGTAATGGTTATGTTTAATGAGAGTCAACACAAGATTGGCCCAGATGGGTTGATAACTTAATGGGCACCTTCAATAAACGTAAACACACGTTTGACCCAGATGAGTTGATAACGTAATGGTTACCTTTAATGACAGTCAACACAAGGTTGGCCCAGATGGGTTGATAACGTAACGATTACCTTCAATGAGAGTCAACACACACTTGGCCCAGATGGGTTGATAACGAAACGGGTACCTACAATGGGAGTCAACACATGCTTGGCCCAAATGGCTAGATAACGTAACGATTACCTTCAATGAACGTCAACACACACTTGGCCCAGATGGGTTGATAACGTATTGGTTACCTTTAATGACAGTCAACACACACTTGTCCCAGATGGGTTGATAACGTATTGGTTACCTTTAATGAGAGTCAACATACGCTTGGTCCAGATGGGTTGATAACGTATTGGTAACCTTTAATGAGAGTCAACACACGCTTGGCCCAGATGGGTTGATAATGTATTGGTTACCTTTAATGAGAGTCAACACACGCTTGGCCCAGATGGGTTGATAACGTATTGGTTACCTTTAATGACAGTCAACACACACTTGGCCGAGATGGGTTGATAACGTATTGGTTACCTTTAATGACAGTCAACACACACTTGGCCGAGATGGGTTGATAACGAAACGGGTATCTACAATGGGGGTCAACACAGGCTTGGCCCAAATGGCTAGATAACGTAACGATTACCTTCAATGAACGTTAACACACACTTGGCCGAGATGGGTTGATGACGTAATAGTTACCTTTAATGAACGTCAACACACGCTTGGCCAAGATGTGTTGATAACGTAAAGGGTTATTTTCAATGAGAGTCAACACACACTTGGCCCAGATCGGTTGATAACGAAACGGGTACCTTCAGTGAGAGTCAAAACATGCTTGGTCCAGATGGCTAGATAAAGTAGCGGTTACCTTCAATGAACGTCAACACACGACTGGCCCAGAGAGGGTTGATAACGCAAGAGGTACCTTCGATGAACGTCAACACACGTTTGACCCAGATGGGTTGATAACATAATGGTGGGACTTCAATCTATCCTAGCCTTTACAAACAGAACATATTGATCTATTTGTAATTCACTATGCAACATCATGGTGTTCTGATGATTTTCGATAATGATCTTCTCGTTCATCATAAGTCATATACAAAATAGTTATTGAAAAGTCTAGATCACTTGAACATACTTACATGAAGGTGACTGGGGTAACACAAGTTTGTACCCTAGACTCCAAACATTAAAAAGGAGTCACAATCTAGAATGAATGAATGAATGAATGAATGAATGAATGAATGAATGAATGAATGAATGAATGAATGAATGAATGGATGAAGTTAAGAGTTGTTCTATGCTCTATGTATATTTTATTTATTTTTATGTAGATACACATTTGTCAATACGATACTAGATTGCTTTGACTAATTGTCCCAGTATCCCAGTCGCTGAAGGGCGGATTTCGATGTGCAGAGTTGTGTCCCCTTGCCGTTCCCGATTTGATCTGAATATGTTTAAACTTTCTAGGACCAACCCGCACAACGTTTAAATGAATAAAAAGCGGCGTTAAATCACTCTCAAAGTCAGCTGACACACTGAAGACACGTGACACCATGTCCTTGGGTCTTACAATTCTCCCAACATACAATACTTCCCTGGCAAACTAAACACATAATGCATTGTGGTACATTCTAATATCTGCGTTAAGTGGTAGGATGGTAAAACAAGTCCTTTGAAAATCATATTTGTATGAACCAAGTAGTGACCATATGGTGTTGAAAGAACTAGCCAACTTGTGAATGTGGACCTGTACTGTCTACAAACTACTAGCAGCCCATCTTAGCAGCTTGTGTATGTGGTACCAAACTGTATCAGTCTATCTTAGCAGCTTGTGCATGTGGGTACCAATCTGTAGCAGTCTATCTTAGCAGCTTGTGTATGTGAACCTGTAGTCTTTACCAAACTCTAGCAGCCTATCATAGCAGCTTGTGTATGTGAACCTGTAGTATCTACCAAACTCTAGCAGCCTATCTTAACAGCTTGTGGATGTGAACCTGTAGTATCTACCAAACTCTAGCATTGTATCTTAGCAGCTTGAGTTTGTGAACCTGTAGTATCTACTAAACTCTAGCAGTCTGGTAATTGGTGTACCGGAAGACATGCATGTAGATTTCACCTTGCAAGGTCGAGGCACATAGATCTACATACATACTGCGCTATATCGGGATAGTTCCGTGTCTGGAGGTCCCATCAAATGATTTGAAGCAGAGTCCATGCTGCAATGGCGAAATCCTTGTCCCAGGCGAACTCCTTGAAGAACATATAAGCCCATAACACTGTATATCCTGTGTCAAACAGAGAGTGCTTGAAAAAGGTTTTATGCTGATTTTAGTAATATTCCAGCAATATCACGGCTGGGAACATTATCAATTGGCTTCACACATTGTACCCAAAACAAGCTTTAAGAAAGATAGTTCTGGGGGAAACTATGCTTTTAACACCATACGTGGGGATAGAGGAAACTGTATTTCTTCAATAAAGTATGGTAAACTATCAACAGCAGAATCTATTTCACCTGTGAGTTATTGCTGTGTTTCTCTCATTCTGACATGTTGCCATTGATTTTCTTCCAGATGTCATTGGCAGGGTTACATCCATTTGCAAGAGGAGGCCCCGGAGGCGTGCGTTCCTCTTGTTTGTTCCCGTGAACGTCGTGGTGTCACTCTACCTGTACCTTGTCGGGTTCCCATCTCCAGTCCCAGGCCTACAGGACCACGGTACACGCCACCAGGGCAGGGTCCCTCGAGAATAGACATGACAAGCCAAAGGCCATCGACACTGTCTCCAGTAAGATGCTTCCACTCAAACATCCCGCTTTTGAACAGATACCTGGATTGTTCAACTATTCTCTGTTAAAGGAAGGTGAAGAGAGGCATCCTCTTGTAAATCTGCATCAATATCAGTTCACCTTGAACTCTAACCTCTGTCAGATAGGTCACGTGTATCTACTAACGATTATTCACTCGGCCTTGGATCATTTCAATTATCGACGTCGAATCCGAGAAACCTTTGGAAGCGTTCGTAAAGCGTGGAATAAAACAGTCGTCGTTGTTTTTACTGTCGGCGTTTCAAATAATGAAACACTTCAAACCAGTGTCGAAAGAGAAGCTAATGAATTTAAAGACATGATTCAAGGTAATTTCATTGATGTGTATAGAAATCTGAGTATAAAACACATTATGGGTTATCACTGGATGCTGAACCATTGTCCTGAAGCAGCCTTTGTGTTGAAGATGGATGATGATATGTTTATGAACCCATATATGATTGTCAAGTATCTCACTCAGCTGAAGGAACCTACTAATCAGCTCCTAGGCGCAATAGCTCACAGGTATGTGCCATGTAGGGAAACTAAACTGAAATGGTACGTTTCAACAGCCCAATATCCGTTTAAAACATGGCCCTATTTTTGTCAAGGACTTGGTTATATTGTGTCCAAAGACGTTTTGCTCAAGCTTTACCATGCGTCCTCAGTGACACGCTTTATCCCTATGGATGATGTATTTGTCACGGGTGTTATAAGATCTAATTTGGGCATTAACGCTACAGATTATAGGGACCTGAGATGTCTGTACGACAAGAGTGTCTGTGTCGAATTTTCTCAGTGCTGGAGTGATGTACACATTTGATTCGTGTCTAAAGCTTACGTTCAAGAATGTTACCGCAATGAAAATGTACAGCAACGGTACATGCCATCTGTCAATGTCGGACAAAAGTATATTTATTTCATAAGTATAATTACAAAATCAGTGTAATGATTAAACATAAGGGAATAATACCATAGCGAATCTGTCATGTATGTCCATTACTGATAATTCGCACCTGTGATAAGTACCTGTGATAATTCGCTCTCGGCATTAACATGTTTCTCAGAACATAAAGAGACTATGGCCTACAGTGATGCTGAAGGGTTCCAGTTATCGATGACTGACCTATTGAAATATCTACTAGAAGATCATATTTATCTGTCAGTGGACGTTTCTTGTGACTTTGAAAGATAAGGAAGACTGAATTACAATGCTGCATGAAATCGTGCACTTCAATCTGATCCTTCGTGTTTGGAATCAGGTTTGGAACGTCTTTGAGTGGCTCTTTAGAAGTTGGAAAGTACAATATTGACAGGCTTTAAGGATAACAACTTCTTATATTTCGTGAGTGTGACGTTTCAATACAGATTCCTTGGCGATCCAGTGTTGGACTAGTTGGATTCTATGCCCACAGTTCACTTCACTGTTAAGAACTATGTTAGCATGTACAACTGTGCCTTTATGATTTTTTTTTTTGTTCTTAAAATAAAGCATTACATGTATTAAAATGTTCATATTGTTGAACATAAACGAATGAATGAGTTGTATGTAATAATCTATACACAGGGTTGAAATTAATTGAAATTGAAAAGACCATGCCTCAACTGTATCAATACGTGACGCAACTGATCCATTAGTTGGCGACGCCATGATATGATTGCAGTTCAGTGAACATTGAAGCAGTATCATGAACCGTCAGTAATTAAAACTGGCCATGCTGTTCAATATTTATTGCTGTGGTTTTTAACAAGATAACTTATACTGAATAAGTATATGAGGTATTTTGCGCGGAACTGGGGCTGGTTGTTTAGTTTCCTGTACTCGGATAAAGAGGAGGTTAAGCTGGGCCTTTCCATTGCTTTTCTTAAGGCAAGCGTGTGCACACATATAATTGTAATATACATGTACCATTAAAAAATAGAAACGCATAACCCAGAAATCTGTTGCGAAAATGCTATATTTTCAAACATGTATAACTCGTCCACAAATGGACTTAAGAACATGATTTTTTACATGTCTACATAACCAAGTGGATAATTTTAGATAACGGACACGTTGAGCGCGATGTTGACGACGTTGCCCCGTCCCGACGTCGGGTCTCCTGGCTCTCAGTCCAGTCTCTCTCAACCTGTTCCGTACAGTTTGACCGGATATCCTCCGAAGTCCAGGCACTCTGGCTGCTGTGCTCTCACCCGTGGCAGTCCGATCACGCAAATGTAGTACCCGGGTATACCGATCTTGGGCTGCAGTGGTGACTTGAGGTCTGCCTGTACGGGGACAATCATTTGTTATACCTGTTTTGTTGTAACGAGCTGCAAACCTTGATATAGTGCTCAGACTAACATTCAGACGCCTGGCAACAGAAGATTGGTAATCTCCAGCATGCATTCTTTCAATGGCGATGTTCCGTGTCGCAGCGTCAAGACGTGGCGTAGTGATTTGACATTGAAACTCCTTCAAAACGAATGCCGATTTCCGAAAGTAATCTGGAGTTTTATAGCTAGACAGTGCATGCTCTTTGCTGCACAATTTCAACTGGAAGGTGATTTCTGTTGCGTTGTGGCGATGCCTTTTTAATCCTTGTAAGAAATCTCATCAAAATCAACGTTTTCATGTAAAGTCGACTTTACTTGTAAAATCATGTCATCAACACTTTTGTTACATATTTTGACGATTGTACGAACACAATAGGTAATTGATAGATTTGTAAAAATACAAAACGCCTATGCGTTTCTTTTTGTGGATAGTATAGTTGTTGATGACTCAGCAACAGCAAACTATATAATGAAATAAAAAGAAAAATGACGTAATGATTAAGTCCCCTAGCCAGTTGTTACGTCCTTAAGGTCAGGCAGATGAGCATTCCAACCATGCCCTCACACTCTCATTCCCCAAGTGATGGGACTCAGCCACCGAGGCTTCCACCATACATTTCCCTGATCCGGAGGGTTCGAATCCCGATTGGACTCATCCTAACAAAAGTACTAGAATCTGTACTTTATTGAGGAAATGTAAGCCTAAATATAACGGATGTAACGATAGGAGGCGGGGTAAAATACTGAACAAAACGATAAGGATAATAACTAAGCTTAGTTATATGTTGAACTTAATATCATTACACACTGTAGAATATTTTATCGCTTTTTGGAAGGAGTTCATCGAAGTCACTCTTACCATTCTCGTTCCCTAAGTGATGGGAACTGTCTATGTATTACTACAGATTCGACTGATGCGGCTAACGGGAACAGGTGGACGGGCTCTCACAATGTCATGTCGCCGTGTCCCAGTTGACAGATCGATGCTTACAGCTGTTTCGGATTTCAGCACGGCTCACTGGATCGTATTCACTAAGTCAACAGTTTACATACCACCGTCATATCAAACTATGAATCCAGAACAAAACACTGAAACCCCTTCAGGTATCATATATTTATAGAGTATTCATACTATATGTATTCATATATTCTAGCGTGCAAAGCAAAAGGGGTGAAAATTGTGAATGTGAAACTGTGAATTGCGGGGCGTTGGCTTCGTGAGTGAGTGAGTGAGTATGGTTTTACTCTGCTTTTAGCAATATCCCAGCAATATCATGGCGGGGGACACCAGAAATGGGCTTCACACATTGTACCCAATGCTTTAACCATAAGGATTCTCCACCGCCACGCGTTGGCTTAGCCTAGTGGCTAAGGCGTTCGATTATCCACATGGGTAAAATGCGTTAGCCCATTTGTTGGTGTCCCCCTAGCTGTGATTTTGCAAGAATATTGCTAAAGGCGGCGTAAAATCATACTCACTCATCCTCGGTTAATCTATATAAGCATATCTGTTTCAAGTTGACGTTTGCAGGCTATTGAAATAAAGGAAACTGAGTATTTAAGTTAGAAGGTTTGACTCTATTGATCCGTTTGACAAACCCTCTGTCTTGGAACATTATAACTACACGTGTATCACGATCTGACGAATATAAAGTAGCCCCGTTGTGATATAGAGAGTGAGTGAGTGAGTTTATTCCTTCTGGGGACAACAGATACTGGCTTCTACACAGATTGTAGCCACGTTGGGAATCGAATCCAGGTCTTTGGTGTGACGAGCAAACGCTGTAACCACTAGGCTAAACCCTACCGCCCCGCTGTGATATAAACCGACATAATGTTAAAGTCAAACTCACTCACTAAGCATGCACGAGCGAAGGTCAAATGTTGGTAATCAGTTAAGATCTCAAGAACTAGTACAGAAGCACAGTTACTGGACTGTACTATACTAATACATATGGACGATCATCGACATCCCAAGTCATGTTATGAAATGTTAAAGCTGCAAGATGATAGTGGCAGCTGCAACTGGGTCACGCATGTCTATTCCTAACTGGATTTACTTATGTTTGGATTACACAGGAAAATGGGAATATTGAAATGTTTATAAGTGTTTTCAAACAAAGATGTCAAAATATTGAAATTCAAAATTGGCATTCTAGGATAATATCATCAGATTTTCTAAAAGACTATGGAACAATCAAGTCCGCCCTGGAAACTGAAAAATACATATTGGAACTCTGTCATAAGAAAGACCTTATACATATTATATCCAAATTTCGCTGTTTCAGACGTAAGCTGAATGTTCAACAACAACGTTATAATGATAATATTCAGAAGATGAATAAATTTCATTTTTTACCTGTGTGTCCATTCTATTCTGTACATAGAAAATTGTATATATCTCGTTATTACCATTCGTTTCCATCAAGATTAAAATGTAAACTTGTAACAACAACAACAACAACAACAACAACAACAACAACAACAACAACAACTGTACATCTATTGAAATATATTGCAATATTTCTAAAGCGTAACTTGCCTGTATAAAAATGTTCTGATTTTATTGTTTTATCTGTCCATCCGTAAAATGTTGTTTTGAATGTTTGTACTCTTGGCCATGTGGCCTCAAATACTGAACAAGACTTCTTCAGAGTCACAGTGCCGTTACGGGTTGATAACTTAATGGTTATCTTCAATGAGAGTCAACACACGCTTGGCCGAGATGGGTTGATAACGTAATGGTTATGTTTAATGAGAGTCAGCACACGCTTGGGCCAGATGGGTTGATAACGAAACGGTTATCTTCAATTAGAGTCAACACACGCTTGGCCCAGATGGGTTGATAACGAAACGGTTATCTTCAATTAGAGTCAACACACGCTTGGCCCAGATGGGTTGATGACGAAACGGTTATCTTCAATGAGAGTCAACACACGCTTGGCCCAGATAGGTTGATAACGTAACGGCTATCTTCAATGAGAGAGTCAACACACGCTTGGCCAAAATGTGTTGATAACGTAAAGGGTTATCTTCAGTGAGAGTCAACACACACTTGTCCCAGATGGGTTGATAACGAAACGGCTACCTACAATGGGGAGTCAACACAGGCTTGGCCCAAATGGCTAGATAAAGTAGCGGTTACCTTCAATGAACGTAAACACACGTTTGACCCAGATGGGTTGATAACATAATGGTGGGACTTCAATCTATCCTAGCCTTTACAAACAGAATATATTGATTTATTTGTAATTCACTATGCAACATCATGGTGTTCTGATGATTTTCGATAATGATCTTCTCGTTCAACATAAGTCTTATACAAAATAGTTATTGAAAAGTCTAGATCACTTGAACATACTTACATGAAGGTGACTGGGGTAACACCAGTTTGTACCCTAGACTCCAAAAATTAAAAAGGAGTCACAATCTAGAATGAATGAATGAATGAATGAATGAATGAATGAATGAATGAATGAATGAATGAATGAATGAATGAATGAATGAATGAAATTAAGAGTTGTTCTATGCTCAATGTAGATTTTATTTATTTTTATGTAGATACACATTTGTCAATACGACATCTAGATTGCTTTGACTAATTGTCCCAGTATCCCAGTCGCTGAAGGGCGGATTTCGTTGTGCAGAGTTGTGTCCCAATGCCGTGCCCGATTTGATCTAAATATGTTTAAACTTTCTAGGACCAACCCGCACAACGTTTAAATGAATGAAAAGCGGCGTTAAATCACTCTCAAAATCAGCTGACACACTGAAGACACGTGACTAGTTTCCAATGTGGGTCTTGTGTGCCACCATGTCCTTGGGTCTTACAATTCTCCCAGCACACAATACGTCCCTGGCAAACTAAACACATAATGCATTGTGGTACATTCAAATATCTGAGTTAAGTGGTAGGATGGTAAAACAAGTCCTTTGAAAATCGTATTTGTATGACTGTTAAGACAAACATGTAACTCTACCTGAACAGAACATAACCTTTTAGAAGAGAAGAAAGCTTTAATTACGCTCAGATACCCGGCATAAGAAGTACAGATGTACAGTGAAGAATACATAGGATGGCGGGATGGTTTACATGGAAGATTGTACAGTTTTCATGGTGGTATTACAGAATGTACATAGTGTTGTTAACAGTTAACACATTCTTAAAATTTAACACATTGGGATTTTTAATATATATAATGGTTTGGGATTTATGTTTTCCGATGACGTTTCATCATGAACACATCTATAAACTTGACTGAAGACAACCACAAAGCAAGTTGCCCGACTGTTGACAATGAACCATATGTTCGTAATTGTTCTGATAGCAAAGCGACATTTAATGTTCAACCTGGTTGATATATAATGCCCATGTATTGACGTGTTACTGGCGCAGCTTGCAGTATATATTGAACTGAACAGTGATGAACAGTTCCATAAAATGACATTTCATTCAGGAACTGAACGGGATGTAGGAAACATGTTCTGTCAAGTCGCAGGTTTGTTTGTTCAGTTATTAACACATGTATATTTTTCAGTCGATTATTGTTGGTTTTGTTTGAGCCAAGTAGTGACCATATGGTGTTGAGAGAACTAGCCAACTTGTGTATGTGGACCTGTAGTGTCTACCAACTACTAGCAGCCTATCTTAGCAGCTTGTGTATGTGGTACCAACCTGTATCAGTCTATCTCAGCAGCTTGTGTATGTGGTACCAAACTATATCAGTCTATCTTAGCAGCTTGTGTATGTGGAACCAAACTGTAGCAGCCCATCTCAGCAGCTTGTGTATATGGAACCAAACTGTATCAGTCTATCTCAGCAGCTTGTGTATGTGGTACAAAACTATATCAGTCTATCACAGCAGCTTGTGTATGTGGTACCAAACTGTAGCAGCCCATCTTAGCAGCTTGTGTATGTGGTACCAAACTGTATCAGCCTATCTTAGCAGCTAGTGTATGTGGTACCAAACTGTATCAGTCTATCTCAGCAGCTTGTGTATGTGGTACCAAACTATATCAGTCTATCTCAGCAGCTTGTGTATGTGGTACCAAACTGTATCAGCCTATCTCAGCAGCTTGTGTATGTGGTACCAAACTGTATCAGTCTATCTCAGCAGCTTGTGTATGTGGTACAAAACTATATCAGTCTCTCTCAGCAGCTTGTGTATGTGGTACCAAACTGTATCAGCCTATCTCAGCAGCTTGTGTATATGGAACCAAACTGTATCAGTCTATCTCAGCAGCTTGTGTATGTGGTACCAAACTGTATCAGTCTATCTCAGCAGCTTGTGTATATGGAACCAAACTGTATCAGTCTATCTCAGCAGCTTGTGTATATGGAACCAAACTGTATCAGTCTATCTCAGCAGCTTGTATGTGGGTACATAACTATATCAGGAACAGCAGCTACTGTATGTGGTACCAAACTGTATCAGTCTATCTCAGCAGCTTGTGTATATGGAACCAAACTCAGTATCTCAGCAGCTATCTATATCAGTCTATATCAGCAGCTTTGTGTATGTGGTACCAAACTGTATCAGTCTGCTCAGCATGTATATGGTACCAAACTGTATCAGTCTATCTCAGCAGCTTGTGTATATGGAACCAAACTGTATCAGTTTATCTCAGCAGCTTGTGTATGTGGTACCAAACTGTATCAGCCTATCTCAGCAGCTTGTGTATATGGAACCAAACTGTATCAGTCTATCTCAGCAGCTTGTGTATATGGTACCAAACTGTATCAGTCTATCTCAGCAGCTTGTGTATATGGTACCAAACTGTATCAGCAGTGTATCTCAGCAGCTTGTGTATATGGAACCAAACTGTATCAGTCTATCTCAGCAGCTTGTGTATATGGAACCAAACTGTATCAGCCTATCTCAGCAGCTTGTGTATGTGGTACCAAACTGTATCAGTCTATCTCAGCAGCTTGTGTATGTGGTACCAAACTGTATCAGTCTATCTCAGCAGCTTGTGTATATGGAACCAAACTGTATCAGTCTATCTCAGCAGCTTGTGTATGTGGTACCAAACTGTATCAGCCTATCTATCTGTATAGCAGTATCAGTCTATCAGCAGCAAACTGGTACCAAACTGTATCAGTCTCATCTATCTTAGCAGCTAGTGTATGTGGTACCAAACTGTATCAGCCTATCTCAGCAGCTTGTGTATATGGAACCAAACTGTATCAGTCTATCTCAGCAGCTTGTGTATATGGAACCAAACTGTATCAGTCTATCTCAGCAGCTTGTGTATATGGAACCAAACTGTATCAGTCTATCTCAGCAGCTTGTGTATATGGAACCAAACTGTATCAGTCTATCTTAGCAGCTTGTGTATGTGGAACCAAACTGTATCAGTCTATCTCAGCAGCTTGTGTATGTGGTACCAAACTATATCAGTCTATCTCAGCAGCTAGTGTATGTGGTACCAAACTGTATCAGTCTATCTTAGCAGCTTGTGTATATGGAACCAAACTGTATCAGTCTATCTCAGCAGCTTGTGTATATGGTACCAAACTGTATCAGTCTATCTTAGCAGCTTGTGTATGTGGTACCAAACTGTATCAGTCTATCTCAGCAGCTTGTGTATATGGAACCAAACTGTATCAGTCTATCTCAGCAGCTTGTGTATATGGTACCAAACTGTATCAGTCTATCTTAGCAGCTTGTGTATGTGGTACCAAACTGTATCAGTCTATCTCAGCAGCTTGTGTATGTGGCTGTTCCAGAAGTCTAGTCAGCAGCTTGTGTATATGGAACCAAACTGTATCAGTCTATCTCAGCAGCTTGTGTATGTGGTACCAAACTGTATCAGTCTATCTTAGCAGCTTGTGTATGTGGTACCAAACTGTATCAGTCTATCTCAGCAGCTTGTGTATATGGTACCAAACTGTATCAGTCTATCTCAGCAGCTTGTGTATGTGGTACCAAACTATATCAGTCTATATCAGCAGCTAGTGTATGTGGTACCAAACTATATCAGTCTAGCTCAGCAGCTTGTGTATGTGGTACCAAACTGTATCAGTCTAAGATAGCAGCTTGTGTATGTTGACCTGTAGTCTCTACCAAACTGTATCAGTCTATGTTAGCAGCCTATGCATCTGACCCTGTAGTATCTAACAAACTTTTGCAGCCTATCTTAGCAGCTTGTGTCTGTGGACCTGTAGTATCTACCAAACTCTAGCAGTCTATCTTAGCAGCTTGTGTATGTGGACCTGTAGTATCTACCAAGCACTAGCAGTGTATCTTAGCAACTTGTGTATGTGGACCTGTAGTATCTACCAAACTCTAGCAGTCTATCTTAGGAGCCTATGCATCTGACCCTGTAGTATCTAACAAACTATAGCAGTCTATCTTATCAGCTTGTGTATGTGGACCTTTAGTATCTACCCATATCTAGCAGTCTATCTTAGCAGCTTGTGTATGTGGACCTGTAGTATCTACCAAACTCTAGCAGTCTATCGTAGCAGACTATGCATCTGACTTTGTAGGATCTAACAACATTTAGCAGTCTATCTTAGCATCTACTAAACTCTAGCATTGTTACACCAACTTGTGTATGTGAACCTGTAGTATCTACCAAACTCTAGCATCTTTATCTTAGCAGCTTGTGGATGTGAACTTGTAGTGTCTACCAAACTCTAGAAGTCTATCTTGGCAGCTTGTGTATGTGGACCTGTAGTATCTACCAAACTCTAGCAGTCTATTATAGCAGCTTGTAGATGTGGACATGTAGTATCTACCAAACTCTAACAGTCTATCTTAGCAGCTTGTGTATGTGGACATGTAGTATCTACGAAACTCTAGCCGTCTATCTGAGGCAGCTTGTGTATGTGGACCTGTAAATCAGTAAACTCTAGAAGTCTATCTGGCAGCTTGTGGATGTGTATGTAGTATCTATAAAAACTCTATCAGTCTATCTTAGCAGCTTGTGTATGTGGACCTGTAGTCCATACCAAACTCGTAGCATTGTATCTTAGCAGCTTGTGTATGTGGACCTGTATGTATCTACCAAACTCTAACATTGTATCTTAGCAGCTTGTGGATGAGGACATGTAGTATCTAACAAACTCTAGCAGTCTATCTTAGCAGCTTGTGTATGTGGACCTGTAGTATCTACCAAACTCTAGCTGTCTATCTTAGCAGGCTATGCATCTGACCTTGTAGTATCTAACAAACTTTAGCAGTCTATCTTAGCAGCTTGTGAATGTGGACCTGTAGTATCTACTAAACTCTAGCATCTATCCTATCAGCTTGTGGATGTGGATCCTGTAGTATCTACCAAACTCTAGCATTGTATCTTAGCAGCTTGTGGGTGTGGACCTGTAGTATCTAAAAAAACTTTAGCTGTCGATCTTAGCAGTTTGTGTTTTTGGAACTGTAGTATCTACCAAACTCTAACAGCCTATCTTAGCAGCTTTTGAATGTGGACCTGTAGTATCTACCAAACTCTAGAAGTCTATCTTATCAACTTTTGTATGTGGACCTGCTGTATCTACTAAACTGTGGCATTGTATGCTATAAGCTTGTGGATGTGAACCTGTAGTATCTACCAAACTCTAGCAGCCTATCTTAGCAGCTTGTGGGTGTGAACCTGTAGTATCTAGTAAACACTAGCAGCCTATACTATCAGCTTGTGGATGTTAATATGTAGTATCTACCAAACTCTAGCATGGTATCTTAGCAGTTTGTGTATGTGAACCTGTAGTCTCTACCAAACTCGAGCATTGTATCTTAGCAGCTTGTTGATGTGGACATGTATTATCTACCAAACTCCAACATTGTATCTTAGCAGCTTGTGGATGTGAATATGTAGTATCTATCAAACTGTATTACTCTATCTTAGCAGCTTGTGTATGTGGACCTGTAGTATCTACCAAACTCTAGCAGCCTATCATAGCAGCTTGTGGGTGTGAACCTGTAGTATCTACCAAACTCTAGAAGTTTATCCTGGCAGCTTGTGTATGTGAACCTGTAATATCTACCAAACTCTAGCAATCTATCTTAGCAGCTTGTGTATGTGGACCTGTAGTATCTACCAAATTCTAGCAGTCTATCTTAGCAGCTTGTGTCTGTGGACCTGTAGTATCTACCAAACTCTAGCAGTCGATCTTAGCAGTTTGTGTTTGTGGAACTGTAGTATCTACCAAACTCTAACTGCCTATATTGACAGCTTGTGGATGTGAACCTGTAGTATCTACAAAACTGTAGAAGTCTATCTTAGCAACGTGTGTCTGTGGACGTGTAGTATCTACCAAACTGTAGCAGTCTATCTTAGAAGCGTGTGTATCTGAACCTGTAGTATCTAGTAAACACTAGCAGCCTATACTATCAGCTTGTGGATATTAATATGTAGTATCTACCAAACTCTAGCATGGTATCTTAGCAGTTTGTGTATGTGAACCTGTAGTCTCTACCAAACTCGAGCATTGTATCTTAGCAGCTTGTTGATGTGGACATGTATTATCTACCAAACTTTACCAGTCGATCTTAGCAGCTTGTGTATGTGGACCTGTAGTATCTACCAAACCCTAGCAGCCTGTACTATCAGCTTGTGGATGTGAATATGTAGTATCTACCAAACCGTATTAGTCTATCTTAGCAGCTTGTGTATGTGGACCTGTAGTATCTACCGAACTTAAGCAGTCGATCTTAGCAGTTTGTTTTTGTGGAACTGTAGTATCTACCAAATTCTAGCAGCTTATCTTAGCAGCTTGTGGATGTGAACCTGTAGTATCTACCAAACTCTAGAAGTCTATCATATCAGCTTGTGTCTGTGGACCTGTAGTATCTACAAAACTCTAGCAGTCTATCTTAGCAGCTTGTGTATGTGGACCTGTAGTATCTACCAAACTTTAGCAGTCGATCTTAGTAGTTTGTGTTTGTGGAACTGTAGTATCTACCAAACTCTAGAAGTCTATCTTATCAGCTGGTGTCTGTGGACCTTTAGTATCTACCAAACTCTAGCAGTCTTTCTTAGCAGCTTGTGTATATGGACCCGAAGTTTCTTCTCAACTTTAGCAGCCTATACTATCAGCTTGTGGATGTGAACCTGTAGTATCTACCAAACTCTAGCAGCCTGGTAATTTGTGTACTGGAAGTCATGCATGTAGATTTCACCTTGCAAGGTCGCGGCACATAGATCTACATACATACTGCGCTATATCGGGATAGTTCCGTGTCTTGAAGTCCCATCAAATGATTTGAAGCAGATAAGAGTCCATGCTGCAATGGCGAACTCCTTGTCCCAGGCGAACTCCTTGAAAAACATATCAGCCCATAACGCGTGTATATCCTGTGTCAAACAGAGAGTGCTTGAAAACGGTTTTATGCTGATTTTAGTAATATTCCAGCAATATAACGGCTGGGAACAGTATCAATTGGCTTCACATATTGTACCCAAAACAAGCTTTAAGAAAGACAGTTCTGGGGGAAACTATGCTTTTAACACCAAACGTGGAGATAAAGAAAAATGTATTTCTTCAATGAAGTATCGAAAACTATCAACAGCAGAATCTTTTTCAGCTGGGAGTTATTGCTGTGTTTCTCTCATTCTGACATGTTGCTATTGATTTACTTCCAGATGTCATTGGCAGGGTTACATCCATTTGCAAGAGGAGGACCCGGAGGCGAGTGTTCCCCTTGTTTGTAGCCGTGAACGTCGTGGTGCCACTCTACCTGTACCTTGTCGGGTTCCCATCTCCAGTCCCAGGCCTACAGAACCACGGTACACGCCACCTTGGCAGGGTCCTCGGGGATAGACATGACAAGCCAAAGGCCATCGACACTGTCTCCAGTGAAATCCTTCCACTCAAACATCCCGCTTTTGAACAGATACCTGGATTGTTCAACTATTCTCTTTTAAAGGAAGGGGAAGAGAGGCATCTTCTTGTAAATCTGCATCAATATCAGTTTACCTTGAACTCTGACCTCTGTCAGATAGGTAACGTGTATCTACTAACGATTGTTCACTCGGCCTTGGATCATATCAATTATCGACGTCGAATCCGAGAAACCTTTGGAAGCGATCGTAAAGCGTGGAATAAAACAGTCGTCCTTGTTTTTACCGTCGGCGTTTCAAATAATGAAACACTTCAAACCAGTGTCGTAAGAGAAGCTAATGAATTTAAAGACGTAATTCAAGGGAATTTCATTGATGTGTATAGAAATCTGAGTATAAAACACATAATGGGTTATCACTGGATGCTGAACCATTGTCCTGAAGCAGCCTTTGTGTTGAAGATGGATGATGACATGTTTATGAACCCATATGTGATTGTCAAGTATCTCACTCAGCTGAAGGAACCTACTAATCAGCTCCTAGGCTCAATAGCTCACAGGTATGCGCCATGGAGGGAAACTAAACTGAAATGGTACGTTTCAACAGCCCAATATCCGTTTAAAACATGGCCCAATTTTTGTCGAGGACTTGCTTATATTGTGTCCAAAGACGTTTTGCTCAAGCTTTACCATGCGTCCTCAGTGACGCGCTTTATCCCTATGGATGATGTATTTGTCACGGGTGTTATAAGATCTAATTTAGGCATTAACGCTACAGATTATGGGGACCTGAGATACAGTTGTACGACAAGAGTGTCTGTGTCGAGATTTCTCAGCGCTGGAGTGATGTTCACATTTGATTCGTGTCTAAAGCTGACGTTCAAGAATGTGACCGCAATGAAAATGTACAGCAACGGTACATACCATTTGTCAATGTCGGACAAAAGTATATTTATTTCATAAGTATATTAACGAAATGACTGCTATCGATGTCTGTTGACCTATATAAATATCTACTAGACAATCATGTTTATCGGTCAGTGGACGTTACTTGTGACTTTGGTTTTGAAAGATAAGGAAGACTGCATTACAATGCTGCATGGTATTAAGCATTTCCATGTGATCCTTCGTGTTTGGAATCAGGTTTGGAAACTTCTTTGAGTGGCACTCAAGTTGGAAGTTGGAAAGTACAATATTGACAAGCTTTATGGATAATAACTTCTTATATTTCATGAGTGTGAAGTTTCAATACAGATTCCTTGGCGATCCAGATTTGGACTAGTTGGATTCTATGCCCACAGTTCACATCACTGTTAAGAAGCACGTACACCTGAGCGTTAATGTGTAAAATGGTTTGAGTTTGTGCCCTTAAAATGAAGTATTACATCTATTAAAATGTTCAGTGTTGAACATAAACGGATAAATGAGTTGTATGTAATAAGCCATACACCGGGTTGAACTTAATTGAAATTAAAGAGACCATGCCTCAACTGTTTCAAGAGGAATTGAAAGTGATGTAATTGACGCGAATATATGTGCACATTCAGAACATGAGGACTAAATGACCCTGGGAATGTTTGTTGTCATACAACAGGTCTCCCTCATTGTGTAATAACATCGCGTGATGACGGGCGTATGACGTCATAATGGTTTACAGTTATGACGTCACAATGCTAATACCTCTGTCACAATGGTATTAGTCATTGCTTGACTCGCGGAAAGCTGAGAGTGTGAAGGCAATTTCGCCGCAGTTTCTATCAATGTATGTTGGAGAGCAATAAACAGAATACTAAACTCGCTTCCGTGCAATACCATTTTTATTAAGCTCGTGAAAGATGATTAACTCGTTTAATAAAAATGGCATAACACGGAAGCTGTTAAGTATCCTCTGTACATTACTCACCCGTTGTAGATATCACTGTTTGATAATTTTACAATGTTATTGCACATTGTTTATTACACATTGTGTAATAACATCGCGTGATGCCGTACGTATGACCTCAAAGTGATTTACAGTTATGACGTCACAATGCTAATACCCTGTCACAATAGTATTAGGTCTTGCTTGACTCGCGGAAAGCTGAGAGTGATCACACACAAAGAAGTACTTCGTCGATAATATTTTGCTAATGTTGGGTGAGTAATAAATAAAATACTAAACTAGGTCCCGTGTAATACCATGTCTATGAAACTCGTGAATGGCAATAGTATCTAACTCGCTTTCGCTCGTTACATACCAAACCATTCACTCGTTTCATAAATATGGTATAAGACGGGACATCGTTTAGTATTCTCTATGTCAAGAGCGCCGAAAAATGACGTGATGATTAAATTGCAAAAGACTCCTGCAAGTGTACAACCAGTGAGTCTTTCGGGTATCGACATTTCACATTCAGTTTCCAGTCCGTTAACAGTGGCTGCATCCTTAAGGTCAGACAAATGGGCAGTATCATTCTGAGCAGCAGTCTGTCTGTCTCTTTCCTCTCTCCAATGCGTCATTGCTGCATGTGTACCGATCGTGACATGATAACGATACACTGCTGTACAAAGTTCACGCAGTATCAGTGACACACACTTGGTAGTCATGTTCCCCCAAGCCAGTTATTACGTCTTTAATGTCAGACAAATGGACATTAGCTTTCCGAGCAGGCGTCTTAAGACGCCCGGGGATATAATCATATGAACTAGAACAGTGACAATATAGCCACTTCGCTTTCCATGATAATACTTCCATTGCTTAACATTGTAACCCTAACTATAAACAGAGGCCAGAGATGTTTAAATGCATGAATCAAATAGTTGTATAGCCTAAACAAATAAATACTTTTTTGTGTGAAATATGTGTCAAAATGCATCAGTAAGGAACCAACAGATTCCACTCATTTTCAGAAGTCAAAGTATTAAAGACTTGCTGGTAACTTAGGACGTTTGTATCAAAAGACAATTCATTTACGATACCTCACGGGGTAGGTATGAAGTACCTAACTGTTTATTGTGTGAACAGGGTTAATACCTGTAACTATTTTAATGTATGCCATTGTACAACCATAGTCGCACATGATAGGAACTACTGCAACCGACACAGACAGAACATCACAGTTGCGAAAGTGAGATCCACTCTTTAGACCTTGATGACACGATAATCATAAATGAAGAAAAAAGAGAGGGCACTGATACCCATATATGGTCATGAAAGGACAAATATATTGTGACGTCAGCACTGGTGCAACCGAAACCTGTACTTTCTTTATTGTTTAGTATTTAAGTCACAGGGTTATTGAACTGAAAGAGCTGTGAATCTTTCAAAGACACCATTTCCTGTTGCAGAACAGGAACTAGTGAATCAAAGTGTTATTCAAGATCTAGAGCAATAAGCAATGTCTAAATAATTAAGTATTTTTCAAGTGCGAGTAGATAGTTACAATTGTAAACACTTGTCCTTTGCAAACAATATTTTTTATCCATAACATGTCATGTTGACTCCCAAATCCAAACAATTGTTTTCTTTCTTCATTATTAAAGTGTAGATTCAAAACAGTACCCCTTGTTCTGCTGTGCATTTAACATCGTCATATAGAATTTATTTATTATCGTCATAACCCTTATTTAGTAAAGTCATATTTGGCGGTCACGCAATGGTATCAGAACTGGTTCTTGAATATACGCTTGTCACCGGAAATCTGGTACCGGAAGTTAGCTGGGCCCCGTCTCGCATATCGCAAGTTGGCGCGCGCAAAAGGAGCCGTGGAACCAGCTTTGTACCGCAAGTAGGGCCTCGCAAGACTTACAGGCCCTATACAAAGGATGTTAGACACATATATCGTCATTGTATTGTGTTACGTCAAGATCCAGTACTGTGTTACGTCAAGATCCAGTACTGTGTTACGTCAAGATCCAGTCAAGATACTGTGTTACGTCAAGATCCAGTATTGTGTTACGTCAAGATCCAGTACTGTGTTACGTCAAGATCCAGTACTGTGTTACGTCAAGATCCAGTACTGTGTTACGTCAAGATCCAGTACTGTGTTACGTCAAGATCCAGTATTGTGTTACGTCAAGATCCAGTACTGTGTTACGTCACGATCCAGTACTGTGTTACGTCAAGATCCAGTACTGTGTTACGCCAAGATCCCTTCTATAGGATGTTATAAACTCAGGTATTGTCATTGTACCGTGTCAAGATCGAGTACAACAGATGTGCTATTGAAGCGTGAAGAGTTGAAGACGTACTGGGATGAACCAGTCTGGCAACAACACTTCTTTGCCTGGACCTGCACATTTCACATCTGCGCCATCTTCGGAGGTCCTTTACAGACCTTACGTATAAATAGACGGCGAGCTGTCGTGGACTTCTGATTCGTTTGTTGAAACGGTTTCTGCGTATTTATATTCTTTTAACTATATGTGAACACCTGTTGTCGCGGCTGATTGATCCAAACAGTTTTACAGCTCTTGTGCTTTTCTCCTCATCTGAAAATCGATATTAGTTATTTTCTGGCATTGATGTTGTATATTTCTAGAATGATCGTTTGCACCATGATTATTTGTTTGATAACGATGTTAGTATCTACATCGAAACGTCGCATCTATTGCAATAAAGATGTTGTCTATCCATTGAAAGTGTTCCTCTTCACCATACCAGCTTCTAAATGCTACTTAAAAAGTAACATGGGTACTGGTTGGGATCAACGACTGGTGTTACACAATAATAGCATTCTTCTTGTAATGTTTCGGTTTGTTGACATGATTGTTTATATTGAACGTGCTACATGGTAACGGTATCTGTGGGCCTAAAACATTATGAACAGATTCTTTCACGTGGTAGAAACATCTGTGATGAGCTTGTTTAGTACGTACTGGTGATGTGAATATGAAACTCTGTTAAAATACACACTCTTGATATCTGAAATGATACAGAACTTCATACATACAAAACGTACAATAGTGTTCAGTATAACTAAAACGAATACTCAAAGATTTACTGAATTATCAAGCTTGGAAATGTCATGATAGCAGACATAAAAACAGTGTTCCATATGGCAATATACGATGGGCAGATGTCACAAAGGAGTAGTTTCAATGAATCATATTATTACCAGGAGACGTGGGCAAGTACTTTCATAGCATTTATTTCCTACCGTGTTAGCGTATATTTTAATTGTGTAAAATCAAACTCTTGTTCCAGTGGTCAATAATCTGAAAAAGAAAAGACGTAAGATGAACATACAGAATAATGGACAACTCCAGCTAATATCTGTACTCAGCATATATATATATATGTTAACAGTGTTTAAAGAGAGATGCTACTTTAGATATTTTAGATGAAGTATTTGTATTTCTATGATCAAAGGCACAAGCTGCCGTGACATACAATACAGCCTTAAACTTCTACTTCTACATCACATAGAAAGACAAATGTTTCAAAGTGTTTCAAGGATTCGGATGACGTAAACGTCGCTCCATTCCATCCTGGACGTGGTCAGTGGGTGACAAATCAGGGGATGTTGCAGGCTAGGGTAACACATTAACATTGTTTTGCTAGAGATAATGCTGTACAATTATCGTGTTGAAACGTCACTCCATGGCTAAATTCGTGACCAACTCGTGTTATTCCATTACAAGCCGAATAGCGACTCGTGCCCTCTGGGAGGATTTCACAGACTCGATTATTTACAGACCGCCGCCATATAGCTGGACTATTGCTGAGTGTGGCGTAAAACTAAACTCACTTACTCACTTGAAGGATTTCATATTGGTGTATGAACTTCAGAACTACTTCAAACAAGAACGATAACTCTATCCATGTTTGATTCCAATGGTACTTAAAATTATTACCAGCGGTTCCCCTTATGTTTCCAAATTATCCTTGGATCCATCTGTAAATAAGGATTTGTATGTATTATATTTACTTTTTAATTGAATATATTCTTGTTTATATTGTAATTCATTAGTTTCTGATTTCTTAAACATTGCAATTAGTTTTGGATTTCGAAAATTGAAACCCCTTTTCCAGACACTGTCTATGAATTTTGTTGAGACAAAGTTGTAATTGTCTCTCAATAGTTCGCATATTTTTACCCAGAATTTCTTACAATCTTTGATTTTTACTACATTTTCAATGTCTCTCGTTATCTTCTCATTATATTTCTGTTTCTTCATTTTGCGGCACTTCTTAAAGTCAGACTTGGCATTCAGATATTTATTTAAGTTCACATCACATTGGTACCTTCGATAGAGATTCAAATGTTTGTACTTCTCTGTCTTTAATCGTTCACAGTCATGATCGAACCACGGTGCGTGTCTATTACATTTTGATTTAAACCTGTTAGATTTTAATCTGAGTACCTCACCACAACCGGTAAACACAGAGGTTAACAGACGAACTGCACTGTTGATGTCTGAATCTAATAATGAGAAGAATCACGTAACTTACTCCTTAGTAATTGTTTAAAACCAGGTATCTCACAATCAGGTAATCGGTATCTTGGAGACGGTAGAAGTGTCAATGTATCACCAGATGACATAGAGAGAAGAGGCTGGAAAATCCCAATGAGCGACGAGCAGATGGTCCGATGCCGCACGGGCCAATACTTTTAAGTCAGTTATATGCTCAAACAGATCAGTGGAGACTAACAGATAATCTACGGGCTTGTTCCTTGGTGTGATAGAAATGTAAATTCACCAGTCCGATCTCCAATAGATCTACCATTCACTATGTGTACGTTAAATATGTTGCAGACATCAAGTAAACATCTCTCGTATACATTCACTTTGTTATCACAGTTGTTCCTAGGTAAGTCGAATGTATCTGACCCATAGTTATCACCAAGATGATCCACACTGTCATTTATGATATAATCAAAATCATTACTTGTCCGTGCATTAAAATCACCAGATAATATGAACTTACACTCTTCTCCACAATCACTTACTATCTGAAGCAGTTTTCCTTCAAAAGATTGTATTCCATTTTCTTCCCGATGG